GTCATAAAAATTCATTATTAAAAGGGGCATTTTTGTCCCATTCAAGTGTTAGCAACTTTCCTCCTAGGTGGAAAAGTTATTACCCACCTGGGAGATGGGTAAGTGATACCCACGAAAATAAACTTTCCCTGGTCCCCACATTAATATGAAAAATGAACATGGGATTCTTGGTCAATGGGAACCAAAATCCCATCAACCAACTTCCCCCCCCCCTTCTCAAAATCCAAAAAAAGAATGCCCCCTTGGTGTAATAACATCAGCGCTACACCCTTTAAATTAAAGGACTCTCCTCTCAGTTTCATCTAAGGTTTTTAAAACTGAACCAGACAATGGACCGGTCAAGGATCTAGTTTCTAGGTCAAGCGGCCGGACCATTCGAATCGAATGGACGGCCTATTTTGACAAAAAAAATAAAAAAAAATTAAAAATTTACAAAACCACTGAACCATTGGACGGTTCGAACGATTTGATCGCCTGGGTTAACGGTTTGCTGACCAAATCAACAGTTTTTGGTAAAATAATGGTTATAGGGTAAAATGGAACCGATCACCTAATTGATTCATGATTTTTCAGTCCGACCATCCGGTTTGAAAACTATGGTTTCATCTTCTTCAATCCAAATTTAATAAAAGTTTGAGGGGGGGCATATTAGCACAAGAATCCCAGTGTTTTGCATTCGAACCCTCTACCAATTTATCATTTATACTCACGCAACACCGTTGCCGTGTATTGGGATTATCTCCCTATATGGCTGTTATATCACGTGGGTAGAGATGCGGAAACAACCAGTGGATAGGAGATCCAAGTCCCCCCAAAATCTGTCATCTGGGTTACTCTAACTGAACAGTATTCACACCGTCCCCGCCCCAAAACATCTCGTATTTATATTTTTTTCATTTATGAGAAATGTTTCCAATGCACAGCTGCAAGTGTAAGAGTGTAAAGACAAATTTTGTGAGAATTTGATCAAGATTCCCAAAGTTAATTTTTAATATTACAGTCAATATTGGTACCTTGGATGTTTCTATTTGAAACACTTTAACTACCTTAGGCCATGCGGGCCCAATCCGGATTTCCTACTAACCCCATTCTTCGGTCTTTCCTACTAATCCAATCACTTGGTGACAGTTGTCCCATTTTCATGTGACCCCAATCCTGTGCAACAATTTACACGTGAGATATCTTCTGCTCCCACCCCCTTCTAGCGCTGGTTCAACTCCGGCTGATAGGAAATCCCCCTCCTCCCCCTCTGGTTCAACAGTGTTCCAATCGCAAAAGTTGATAGACCAGCTCCGTATTAGCCCAGATTGGATAGAGTCCGTCATGAACAAAATCAGCGTAACCTAGTCTTGGTCTAGGATTCAGGACCGTCGGGCAGGCCAAAAAGAACTGAAACATCATATATTGGCAATTGAATGAATAAATGCATACCATAAGCTCCTTTGGATTCAAACGCCTTTATATCCTCTACATGCAGCGTCACCGGAAAATACGCACAGCAATGGTAACAGATGTACCTGAAAATTCATGCAAAATACACCATAAAATTAAGAAAAATGTTATTTGGTAAACTATAATTGAAGAAAATTAGGGAAAAAACGACTTTACCATGCCAATGTTCGACCTAATTTACTTTCTTCGTTAATAGGAAGCACAGTAAAAAACAAGAGCAGAACATATATCCTGAAAAAAAAAAGTGTCAGAATTCAGAAAGACGAAAGCAGAGAGAGAGGGAAAAGGCTAAGCAGAGCTGACGGAGAAAAGGAGAATAATTTTACTACGCACGAGAAAGCTAGGTAATTTGGAAGGAAGCACGCCATGAGAATCAATGCCGCGACCAAATGTAAGGGACCGAGCAGAAGGGTGAGAGTCGTTACTGATGAGGGCAGATTTGGCCCTCCAGTGAAATTGTGATACCTGGCACCTCATGCCAACTAAGTGTAGCCTCTTGACAACTAGGCAGCTTGCCATAGGTAGTTCGCCATAGGCAGCTTGCCATAAACAGCTCGCCATAGGCAACTCGCCATAAGCAGTTTGCCACAGGTAGCTCGCCATAGGCAGCTCGCCACAAGCAGCTCAGCTTGCCACAGGCAGCTCGCCATAGGCAACTCGCCACAGGCAGCTCGCCACATGCAACTAGCCACAGGCAGCTTGCCATAGGTAGCTTGCCACAGGCAATTCACCCTTAGCCTGGCAACTTAGACAACTTGGCATTGCATAGGCAGCTCGCCACTAAGCAGTTCATCCCCAAGTATTGTAGGAAGATCTCCTGCCTGACAACCTGGCCCAAACACTGACCCGCCGACTGATGCAGGTGCTGCCCTGACAATCTGGCCCAGGTGCCGACCTGGCCGCCTGACACAAGCGCCAGCTTGACGACCTCGAGGAGTTCAGCACCGTATCTCGGTTCTGACGGGATGTGACGAGTCTTACCGTTTGGAGGCTTTTCACCCACCTAACCC